CTCCCAGTGCTGCACAGCGAACTGTAACCCAGGGGAAGAGACTAAATAACAGAGCCCCTCGCTGGAAGCCACGGATCCCGGCGGCGCGGAGGAGCGAGATTCTGAAGACTCTAGACAAGCAAAGCCAGATTTCTTCTGGAGAGTACAGAATTCTTTTGGTTCTTTGGTTCCAGAGAGAGAGAAGATGCTTGTGCCAGGTGGCACCAGAGTTTGCCAATTGATCCTTCTTATTCTGTGTGTACATGCAAAGATTGGACCATGTTACATGAAATAGTGCCAGCTGGAGGTTCTTTGCCAGCACCATGCCAAGTGAAATAATATATTTACTCTCTCTATTATACACCAGTGTGTGCCTGCAGCAGCCTCCACAGCCACCATGGGTTTGTTTTTGTTTTGTTGGGTGGGAGCAGGGACGGGCGGAGGGAGGAGAGCAGGTTTCAGATCCTTGTTTGCTGAGCCGTTTGTTTAGGTAGAGAAGACAAGTCCAAAGAGTGTGTGGGCTTTCCTGTTTCTAAACGTTCACTACTATAAAACCAAAAACGGAAATCAAGATTTAACCAACCCCAGTGCCCACGAGAGGTCTGGGGAGGGAGCGGGAGGGGCTTGGGGTGGGAAAGTATATCAAATAAGCAGTATTTAATATTGTCTGGAGTGGGGCAGAGTGCTAGGAGAGACGCACCCCAGGAATAGCCACTCAGTCTCCTCCCAGAGCTCGCCACTCCCCGCCGTGGGCCCCCCCACTCTGAAGCCTTGCCCCACCGCCCCTTCCCTTTGCTGGAGTGGCGTGTCCTGCGGGCTGGCCCACCGGTCCCCTTCCCTCTCCAAGAACAAGCAGAGCAGGGCTGCCGCCCAGGGAGGAAAAGAAGGGTGTGTGTGTCGAGGAAGGAAAAAAGGTGGATCAGTGATTTTACTTGAAAACAAGCTCCATCCCTTTTCTATATTTATATGCAGAGAAGGTCCCGAGCGAAGCAGCACGCGACCCAGGTGTGTGTGAATTGAATGGAGACGTTTCTTTCCGCTTTTTTTTTTAATTATTTTTTTATTTTTGTTTTTGTTCATTTTTCTCAAAACAGAATTTTATTTTGTTGTTCTTTTACTTTTTGGTAACAAAAACTAAACTAAGGAATAGAAAAGCTGTTCTTCAGGCTGACAGTCCAGTCGAGGGTAGCGGAGACCTTGCATGGTAGTGTAGCGTCCTAGTGTCAGTGAGGTCAGTGAGTCTTCGTGAGTCCTGTGTCATCGTTTGGGGCACTGTTTTTTTATGCAAGGGCAAAAATCTTTGTATCTGGGGGGAAAAAAAACAACAACAACTTTTTTTTAAATTAAAAAAGGAAAATAAAAGCTATTGAGGTCTTCCTAGTGTTACTTAAAAATTAAGATCAAGGTAAGAAACATTGTAAAAAAAAATTACAAAAGTGCTATTTGTTTCCTAAAAACAGTGATTTCTATTAAAAAGGTGTCAGAACTGGAGAAAATGCTGTGTAGTTATAATTTTTTAGCACAGAACCTGCTGATCATGATGCCATTTTGCTGTGTTTGTGTCTCAAGACTGGTGGGCTTGACTCCATGGTTTGTGTCCTGCCAAGAGGGCCGCAGCCCCCCATGCAGAAAGGACTGTCCTCTCGTCCAGGTGCAGGGTTCTTGTCTCCTGTCCGGAAGGAGTGCAGATGGTATCAGAGCCCTGCCCGTTGGCTCCTCAGCCCCATAGGTTCTGCTAGAGCAGAAAGGCTGGTGCTTAGACCAGATCTCTTCCTTTGGTGCTGCTCTCGGTCTTTCAGTCACCAGCATTCTGAGTGCCTGGGGACAGCCTGAAGACAAGTGGCAATGACGCTCAGGGGTGCCCTGTGCACCCTGGCCTTGGGGGGGGGGGCAGGGGCAGGCTACTTGCAGCAGCCCATGGTGCTTAGAAAGAACAAAGGGAGGAGCAAGGTGTCTTGAGGGGACAGGGTGTCTTCTGAGACAAAGCCCCAGCATGGCCTGTGTGTCCATCTTGCCTTTGTAGGAGGTCAGAATCTCCAGCCGCTTTCTCTGCCTGTCAGCAGAGATGGAATTCACTCCACTCTGTCCACCCACAAGCTTCCTGGGTGAGCCTAGGCTGGAATCTGTTTGCCTTTGCTTGATCTGTTGTGTGTTATGGCCATTTTCCTTTGTAGAAGACCAGTTCTGAAAGGCTCAGGTCATTTCTGACATCTTGCCTGGTGGGAAATGCACTGTGTCAGACGTACACCCCTGTGGGAGGCCTTTGCCCGGTGCTTGGCCTGGATGCTCCCGGCTCTCCTACAGCAGCTCTCCCAAGTCTGCTCCTCACCCCAGCAGTGGGGGAGTCTAGGGGGCGCAGAGAAGATTCCACTCACTTCCTCTCCATCCACTTAGGCCCCAAGAGACAAAGGTGGGTCCTAAAACAAGAGCAATAAAGGTACTTTGTAGAGAAAAGCATGCCTCATTGATGTTCCAAGACAGAACTAAGACACTAGCTGCCAAGTTAGAGCAGGGGACAGAGAGGAGCTCTTCACCCATTCAGACACGAGGTGCTGTGCCTGGGCAGAGGCCTGGATGAGTTGGAAGAGAAGTTGGCAGTGGTTCAGAGCCCAGCTCTGTGCTGCACGCTTGCCTGTGGGCTCTCCCATTGACTTGTCTGGGCCCATAGAGCGGGCACACAGTACATATCTTTTCTTGAAAGAAATTGGCATGCTGTCAGAGGCCTTTGCAAAAGCAGAGCAGCTCTAGGTTCTCAGGTGAGGAGGGGCTAGGAGCTGACCAGTGTCGTGTGCTGTCCGACTTTGGCTGTGCTAGGACTAGTCAAGATAAGGGTTCTTCCCCCAAGTTCAGAGGGAAGCAATTTTGTGCTTGACTAGTGGCACAGATTACAACCTACAACCCTAACCCCTACTCAGACGTTCTGGCCTCAAATCCAAAATCACTTTTACTACATAGACAAAACACTGGCCACTGTCTGTCTCCTGCTCCTTCCCTGCGTTCCCAGGCCCAGGTTGGTGGTGACCACTTGAGACACACCTCTGTCTCTGATACCCTCCCTCTGGTTGCCTCCAGTTCATTCCTCCGCTGATCTTTCTCAAGTCCCAGAGCTTAGCTTCTCTTTACTGATGTGTCTCAGGAGTCCCAGGGGGCAAAGCAGCCAGAAGATTGGTGGTTTGAACTCCCCCTCCCAGAGGTGCCCTGAGAGGACAGGCGTGGTGACCTGTACCCAGGTCAGCCTTGAAGACCAAGGGTCGCTGTGAGTCAGATAGACTCAGTGGCAGCTCAGCACAGCAGATATCTCTGATACTAGCCAGAGCCTTGAGACAGCTGGAGGAGGAGGAGCAAGTCCGGGACAGGGAAGAGCTGCCCTCAGGGCCCTTCCCGTGGAGTCCCCCTTGTCAGAGTGGATCAGCCGCAGGCTCTGGAGGCAGTGAGCAGTGAGCTCATGTCTCTGTCATCTCTTCCTTCTGGCTGCCTACAGGTTCTTCTTTGTGGAGCCTGCCGAGTCTTGTCCCACCTCCACTGAGCTCACCCAGTCTGTTTCCTCTTTAGCCGGCCCTTTGAGGCAAGCCTGTTGGTTGTACCTGGCACAGACCCAGCTTGGGGCTGCCCCTCTGGGGCCTCCCCCTGTGGGTCTGGCTTCTAGGACCAGTGACTCTGCCACTGGTGCCCTCCGGCTGCACCATCCAGTGCCCACTTTCCCTCCAGGGCTGCTCTCTGCCCTGCTGCTTGGCCCGCTCTGAAGTTTCTTGGCTCTGGCCCAGCAGGCTGTGCTGGTGGGTTTGTTCACAGCTCTTTGGGCCCAGCGCCTTCCTCCACTGCTGTCCAGGAGGAAGGGAGCCCACGTTGCCATCATCTCTGCAGCCGTCTCTCTGATACTTTTGCTTGGGGGCCACATCCCTACACCCCAACTCACTGGTATACCAAGTGGTTTATCCCTTTACTCCCTTTTAGGATCTGGTCTCTCATCTAGTGAAAGCGCTTAATAAGGAGGTTTTTTAGGTTGCAGATTTCCAGGCCCTGGGGCTCCAAATGAGGTTCATGTTGGATGAGGCAGTTTAGCTCTGAGTAAAACCCGCCTGGGCCTCACTCCACCCGTCTCAGCCGGGCACCCTTTTCAGGAAACAGGAATCTCAATCTCACCCAGACTTAACAGCCTGTCCCCAGTGTCAGCTCCTCTGCCAAGAGTGGGGGGCCCCTGGGAAGACTTCCTACTGGCCTTCCCACTAGCTTAAGTAGGGAGTCCCTTCCAGAGAGCCAGGGTGAGAACTCTTAAAAAATATTTCTGGTCCAGGGAGGGCAGGCTCACAGATTTCATTAGACACCTGTTCACTTAGCCTTTCGTCCTTGGAGGATGCCACCCTCACCCCAGCAGCCTTCGGACCCCAAGCCGTCCGCCCAGTGTTCGTCCTCAGCCAGGGTCCAGTCAGGCAGGGCAGGATGGGCGGGCGGGTCAGCCAGCCCCAACCCTGTCTCTTGTCCATGCCCTTTGTGATTTCAGTCTTGGTAGAACTTGTATTTGGAGTTTTGTGCTTCAAAGTTTTTTGGTTTTGTTTGGTTTTTGTTTTGAGGGGGTGGGGGGGTACAGAGCAGCTGATCAATTTGTATTTATTTATTTTAACATTTTACTAAATAAAGCCAAATAAAGTCTTTCGGCCTCCTGGTTTTGGGTTTGCGGCAGGGGAGGGTGGAAGGGATGACTCCGTGCTGCTGCCCTTCTATAACTGAAGCCAAGGCGCCCTGAGCCCAAGAGCAACACCAGAGGAATTTTCTAAAACTTTAATTATAAAAAGGAGGTATAGCAAGTTGAGATGGGGATCCAGCCCCAAACTGGCTGCGGTAGGCAGAGGCTAGACCTCAGTTGGCAAGTAACAGCCGGGGAGAACCCCAGGACAGGCCCCCCAGCCTGTCCCACAGACCTTAAATAAATAGCACATAATGGCAGCAGTTGGGGGCAGAGGCTGCTCCCCTGTGTCCAGTGTGTGTGACTAGGCAGGTAGGGTTGCACAGCCCCAGGCAGGTCACGTAGAGTCCTGGGGCCGCTGTAGGGCAGTGAGGTATTTGAGGGCGCCAGCCCCATAGCTGCGGGACAGGTCCTGGTGGAATTCATCCTTGAGGGCCTGCAGGCAGTCTCTGTAGGCAGAGCTGGAGCGGAAGCGGGAGATGTCAAGGCTTGGGGCGTGGGGCATGTGGATCATGAAGGCCTCAGGCAGCACCAGGAACTCATACTCCTATGGGCGGGGCAGGGGGGGAAGGAGGGCTGGGCAAAATCCCCTCAAGCCAAAACAGGCCCTCCAGCAAAGGATAGTGGACTCCTGACTGCACTGGGTTACTGAGGCTGTAAATCTTTCAGAAATGAGATCACTTCCTCTTTCTCCCTGTTGCAGCTGGTAGATTCGAACCACCAATCTTTCAGTTAGCAGCCCAGTGTTTAGCACTCTCTGCCAACACTCTAACAGAATTTTCTAAGACTCTCCTCTGTGGGGTGCTGTACCCCAAGGAGATGGAGTGAGTTTCCTGCACCCACCCACTTACCTCTGTTGATCTAGACTGCCCATTTTGATGGTGGATTTGAACTCCCTACCTTTCAGTTCTGGTGGCCTAGTTAGTAACAAATTGCACCATTAACTCAAAGGCATATAGTTTGAATCCACCATCTGCTCCATAGGAGAAAGATGGGCATCTCCTCCTGTAGGTTTTAGTGCCTCTGAAAAGGCACCGCAGAGTCAGCAGTAGGTCACTTCTGACTCACAGGTCCACAGCCACCTTTTGGCCAGCAGCCCCCGCCTGTAACATCCAGTAGGTACCCCCCTCACCTGTGCATCCAGCTCCACAATGTGGGCCACCTTATTCCAGCCGAAGCCCACAAAGCGGGTGTCATAGTGGGGACAGTTCCTCGGCACCACCACGTAAGGCTCGTAGTCCGCTGCCCACTGCACTCGGTATGGGACCTTAGCCTCCCGCCATCGGGCATAGTCTGTGGGCGCATGACCCTGGGGCCACACGTGGGACCTGTGGCGTGGGAAAGGTGAGGAGCTGAGGGTCTTGGGGGCCGCTGTGGGGAACAGCTAGCTGAGCAGGGGTCTCCTACCTGAAGGTGTAGAGCGAGCCTACATCCAGCAGGGCGAGCAGTTCAGACTTGGAAGCCGGGAAGTTGAGGCGGTAGTGTGGGCTCTCGAACGCTGGCACCACCAGCGCCACCTTGTGCTGCCCGCCCAGCTCCAGCGGACTGATGGAAGCCCTGGGGAGGCAGCGTCCTGCGCTGGGCCAGCGGGTCTGGAGCTTGTTACCAGCCACAGAGCCTCTCCTCCACAGAACACCTCACCGTCCAGTACAAGACCGGCTTTGTAAGGCATCCAGAAAAACTCAAATACCCTACTTTACAGAAAGGCCCAGGGACATCCACTCCTGAGGTCCGGAGCAGGGTGAGCCCACCCGTCGACACCCACCCCACTCGCTCTCTCTTCCTCCCCAGGCCTACCTGAGGTCGTGATAGAGGGAGTAGCAAGGCAGGAAGTCAATGTCGCTGAGGAAGACGTGGGACGTGAGGGCCTGGGCCAAGGCCACGTTCCGAAGATGGTTAACAGGGTAGAGGGGACCCTCACGGTACACCACGTGGTAGGCCACATTGCGGCGGGCAGAGAGCACCGCCGAGGTCTCCACGAAACGCAGGAACTGCTGGGCCTCTGCGTCTGTCAGGTACAAGGCCAAGCTCATGGGTCCTGGCCAGTGGCTGCACAGGGCTTCCAGCATCTGCAGCCTGGGGCGAGGGGGGTGGTCAGCCCAGCTCAGCCCATCTCGCCCAGGAGCCTAGGGAGGGCAGGCAGCCTTCCCCAAAGCCAGCTGCTACGGGCACCCTCCCTCAGGTGACTGGCCGTCTGCCAAGCACCAGAACAGCCAGGCCTGGCTTCCTCTTCGCAACAACTCTACAAGGTGGGTGCTTTCTCATCCAGAAGAGGTAGCAGAGGACCAGAGATAGTAAGACTTGCCCTGTGAGTACAGTGGGTTAAGTGCTGAGCTACTACAAAGTTGGTGGTTCGAACCCACCAGCCGCTCTGCAGAAGATGAGATGGAATGCTTCTCTTAAGATCTGTAGCCTAGGGGAGCTGCAACTACAATCCCAGAGGCACATGGTTCGAATCCACCAGATGCTCTGCCGGGGAAGGAGGAACAATCTCCTGTACCAGTCAGATCTGGTTTGACAGTACACTCACACAAAAATAATAAAATTTAAAAAAAAAAAAAAAGATCTGTAGCCTTGAGCATCCCGTGATACAGCTCTACCCTGTCCTGTAGGGTCAACTGTGAGTATCAACTTGATGGGGACTTAGGGTTCCATGGTCCCATGGCTATTGATGGACACACCCAAGCTCCTTCCACCATATCCTTTGTCTCCAGCTTCAGGGCTCCCACCACCTCAGGCGTGACAGCTCTCCCCGTTCCCATGCAAGGGTGCTCACCGGTCCATGGAGAGCTGGGCCACCAGGGTGACATCATGGAGCTGGGGTGACGGCAGTTCGAAGGGCAAGAAGGTGAGGTGCACACGGGGCACGGTGAGGCGCTGCTGCTGGAACTCAAAGCAGGCATCGTCCTCATCCAGTTGTGCCAGGGTTCGCTGCAGCTGCGCGAGGAGGAAGACCAGGGCTCAGGCAGGAGGACGTGTCCCCAGGACAAGGCAGTGGCCTCCCGCAGCCCAGAGCAGGAGCACCGTCTCACCTGCTCAGCCCGCGGTGGCAGCTGGCTGGGGCACCCGAAAAGTTCCCTCCGCAACAGGTTGCCGTCATACTCCAGGAAGGTCAGGTGGAGGTTGCGGAAGAATTCCGCGTGCTTGTTCTTCACCCGAAGTTTCTTTGGTGAGTTCCAGTGGATTGCCTGGGAACAAGGAGGGTGTCGGTAGGGCAGGGGGTGTGGTGAGCCCCCAGCCTTCCCCTCTCAACCTGGCCCCGCTCACCTTGAGGTCGGATGCCTCAGAGTAGCAGTTCTCAGCCAGCGTGTGGTCTGACAGCTGCACGTTCCAGATGCAGGGCAGGAGCAGCACCAGCCCGGGGTCCTCCTTGATTATGGAGTTGAAGATGTCCTGGGCAGGGATGGCCGTTACACGTCTGTCCCTCCACCTGCCCCCACCACCCACACAAAGGCTCCCCCAGACCTGGTCAGCCAGAGAGGTGGAGGACAGGGTGAGAAGCTGCCGCCTCGTCATCACCTTCCACGTCTGCATCCAGCCAATCTGCCGCAGCCGGTCCAGCCGCAGAAGGATGACGCCTGCAGGAGGTGTGGAGAGGGGTCTTGATGGCTCTCCAGAATGTTCCTTTTATTTTTTCACTTACACTGGTATTCTTTGCCCTTTCAGACATGAGTACATTGCCCTTCTTGGGACTGAAGTGGAAGGACTTAAGCTGGCATCTTGGAACCAGTGATCCTAAGGTTGGTAAAATCACCCTCATTTAACAGATGAGAGAAACTGAGGCATGGGGGGAACAAGCAGTGTGGCCAAAGTCATGCAGTATGTGGAGTCATGGCTGTTCATCCGGTGCATTTTTCACATTTTTCTTAGGGATTAGGAAGCTCCTAAAGCAAGCCCACCCATCTTACTTGTGCCCACCACTGTCCCACCTGTGTTAAAACCCCGGCCCAGGGCCGGCCAGGGCTTGTGGTTCTTCCAGAGGTTGCCCAGGTACCAGTCACTCTGGTTCTCCACGAGGCCAATCACCTGCTTGTCTGGGAAAGGAAGACCAAGGACAGTGCCTCAGGCTGTCACAGGACTCGCAGAGGGGGCCGGGCAGTCAAGGAGGAGGGCTGGCTGGGGCGGGGCCCTAGCCCTCTCACCAGAAAAATGAGCAAAGAATGCCCAGAGCTCAGCGATGTCAGAGGCAAAGGTGACGTCCGTGTCAAGGACAAGGACACGGGTCAGGTCAGGGGGCAGGATGTCAGGCAGCACTAGCTTCAGGAGCCCATAGATGCCAGAGTAGTGCGTGTTGGGGATCCAGGAGACCTGGTGCTGCAGGGTGAAGGCAGGCCATGGGGTGAGCATGGACACACTTGGGGGAGTCAGTGGGAGAAAGCACAGCCCAAGTGGAGCAACGTTTCAGCAAGTGTGATGGAAAGGGGTGGGAAGGTCCCATGCAGCTCTGACCCCCTACCCCCCCAGGAAGGAGGAGGAGAGCTGAGAGTTGGGGTTCGTGCCTGGAACCTGTCGGCATCATAGAAGCTGACCCGGAGGGCAGGCACCATCCACGTGTTGAAGAGTGTCTCCAGGATGTTTCTGGCCACTGTGTCCGTCACCAAGTGGAGGTGCAGCGGGTTTTTCCTGGAGGTGACAGGGAAGAAGGTCTGAGGGGTCCAGCAGCACCCTCTTCTGAAGAGCTTGTCCATCCACAACCCCCCCCAAAGGACAGACAGGAAACTGTCCCCACGTTGCAGATGGGGAAGCAAGGACGAGACTTGTCTCCGGCTAACCTCCCCGGAAACCTGGGCGTACCTGTAGAATAGCAGGGACTTCATCAGGGTGACAACATCTCGGCTGGAGTTATAGCCTGCACACACGACGGCCACATGCAGAAGCTGGGGAGTGGACACGGGAGTCAGCAGCTGTCCGTGTGCCCCAGCAGAGTGAGGCGTCATTTAGCTGCTCGGGCGGCGAGGCAGGGGCCCACCCACTTCATTTCACAGTTGGGGAAACTAAGGCTTGAAGCAGGAGAGGTCAGTCGCGACACTTCTCCAGCTGGTCAATGCCCAAGCAGCCGCCAGATGCTGTCATTCCCACAGTGGCCAGGCTGAGCCCAGCTGGCGGGGCTGGGGGCGCGGTGTCCGCGCTGTCCTCGCCCACCTACCTCGCATTTGCGCAGCAGCGACCGCAGCGGGACGCAGGCCGAGCGGTTGTGGTCCCAGCGCAGGTCTCCGTCGAGCGCAGCAGGGCCCCGCGGCCGCCCATCTGGGGGGGGACACGTGGCGTTAGCGGGCAGGGCAGCGCCCCCGCGGCCCTCGCTGCACCCCCGCGGCCCCCGCTCGCCCTCCCCGAGCTCGGCGCTCACCCTCCAGGTCCCCGCCGAACAGGAAGAAGCCGAGCAGCAGCAGCAGCAGCAGCAGCAGCGCCGCGGCCCCCAGTGCCCGGGGGCGCCCTCGGGGCAGCATGGCGACCGGCAGGGGGCTCCACGCCCCGAGCGCTTCCCCTGGCTCCGGCGCCGGGGGCCTGGGGGGCGGCCGGGCCAGATCCGTCCTGGACGGCAGGCCCCGACGACCCTGCGCCCGCGCTGCGCCGCCACCCTCACCTGCGGCCCCGGCCCGCGCCAGCCCTCGGGGTGCGGGGAGGGGGCGAGGCGACGGCCCGCCAGTCGCAGCCCCGCCCCCGACCTGGGCTCAGGTTTCACCTCCGCTGGGCTGTGCCCGAAGGGGCGGGGAGACCCCGGGGCCCGGCCCCGCCCCGCCTGAGCAGCGGGCCTCACCCCCTCCCGGGAGGAACCGGGCAACACCCCCGTCTGGGCTGAGCCTCCCACCTAGATGGTGGGGGGAGCCACTACTGGGGCGTCCCAGTCCCCGTAACCTGCACTCGAGCGCATCCCCCTCTTCCCAGCTCCGACCCGTGACCCTAGGCTGGGATCAAAGGGCCGGGGCTGAGGGGGAGGGGCTGGAATGCAGGGGTCGCGAGCACCTGCTCAGGGGCCAGGAGGAGGGGCCAATCTGGACCTGCCCTCCCGACGTGCGGAACACCTGGAGCCCCCGCCCCCCAGCCCAGGTGGCCCGCCGGGACAAAGAGGCCTTGTGAAGCCTTGAAGGTCGCCTGGAGCTAGCCAGGGCCCCCCCCTAACGTGTACAACCGGCCGCGCAGCTGGGGATCCTTCTTCTTTGTCGAGACTGGCCCGGCGCCCTCGCCCCTCGCGTTCTAGAGCAGGCCCGAGGGTCACCTCTTGCCCTGGGGCGGGAGAGGGGCTGGTGGAAGCTTTGGACCGTGAACCAGAACAGCGACGGCTGACTGAGCGCTGCTTCTGTGCCAGGCTCTGAGCTCAGGGTTGGCCATGCTTCCTCTCAGTTAAATTTCACAGCTGGCTAAGGACACAGGGACCTCTCCCCAGAGGGTGAAAGTGACCTCTCTGACCCTCAACTTTTGCAGTCACAGGTGTCCCCTCTGTTATGGGCTGGGCCGTGTCTCCCCAAAACATATGTTGGAAATTCTAATTCCTACCCACCCGTGTGGAACAGGGAGCTCCGATGGTTTAGAGGCTAGGAGTTGTGCCGCCAACTCAAGGCACGCCTTCGAATCTGGGTGTCAAAGGCCAGCAGTTTGAGTCCGGGAGAAAGATGGGCAGTCTCCTCCCATGCTGTTTACTGATGGTGGTGGTTGTTGTTGTTATTAGATATGACTCATAGCGACCTTATGAACACAGACCTGGTCTTTGCCCTAGCCTGTGCCGTCCTCATCATCTCTGCCACACTTGAACCCATTGCTGCAGTCACTGTATCACTCCATGTTATTAGCGTTCTCTATCTCCTTCACTGACCCTCCATCTTTCCAAGCATGATGTCACTGTCCCAGAAATAGCTTCTCCTGGCGCTAGTATGAGAGGGGAGGCTTCATCCTCTACCTCCGAGGAGCATTCTGGCTTCACTTTCTCCAAGATATATCTTGGCAGTTCGTTACTGAGGGTCAGCTGTGAGTATTTTAGCTGAAGGTATATTACAGTAACAACCTCTGTGATTATAATCCGTTTTGGAAATGGCTAGTCTTTGTTGTGGTAAAACTCGATAGCCTTGTAAGGGTGTGTTTTAAGCCAAGTCACCTTTAAGATACAGAAAGAACAGATTAGGTTAGACAGGGAAGCCAGCAGAGAAGGGGGCGACAGAGACGTCAAATCACATCAAGATCACCAGGGAACTGAAGCTCCTTTTAAAACAAGGACCTTCCCTTTGAGCCAGCACCCTGTTCTTAGATGTCTAGCTTCCTAAACCGAGAAAAAATAAATCTCTGTTTGTTGAAACCATCACTTGGGTTTTTTTCTGCGATAGCTGCGCTGGGTAACTAGAAAGCCCTCTTCCACCGTGCAGACAAGGTCTTCTTGCCCCTTTAGGATTCCTTGCTCTGGAACTTGGCCTTGACTGTCCTTCTTGGAATCCGTGTGTTTATCTGCTTCCTGGCTCCAGTCACTATCTGATCTACTGCTTACTATTTATCACCCTAGAGAATTAAGCTGCTTTGGAGACCGAGTTCTGTCCATTTGGTCACAGTGCCCAAGCAGGGTCTAGCACTTACCAAGCGCTCTGTCAATGTGTTGAAAGTGAAGTCAGTTGGGGACACGGACAGTTGCCTTTCATCTAACTTTTGGCTGTAAAATTGAGGGCCTTAGAGGCCTCAAAGAGAATGTGGATGGACAGCCTAACTTGACACCCCAAGACTCCTCTTTGAGGCTGGATGCCTTTCTCTGGGAGAAGGGGCCTTCCAGGAGGGTCCGACTCTGTGCTTCTGGAGGCCAGGGGTAATGGTTGCTATGGAAACGGAGAGCCTCTCTTTGTGTATCTAGGAGTTGGGAGGAGATGGGGACTTGAAGGAGGGGGGCAGATACACAGGAATCCGAGCTTTGACTCTCGAATACCCTGGCTCCTCATTTCCAGCCTGAGGCTGGAGCAGGGTAGGAGGGTGCCTCCCTGAGATCCTGGACAGAGACTGTGGGAGTAAAATGTGAGGGAGCAGGTAACATGAATATGAAGACATGGGTCCTGATAAATCTTCGATTAGGAGTAAGGGGCTTTGTGAGAAACAGATCCGAGTCTATAGATCTGTGGTCCTTTACAATGATGCTGGCCCCAGGACTCCTTCAGCCTCCCCACTTAGGAGAAACTGAGCTGTAGAGAGGCCTAAGTCTACAAGAGGAGGTTCTGGGATTGTGGTGTGGGGGTGGGGTAGGAAGAGGGAGACAGGTGTGGGCAGGTGAAAGTGTCCTCTAGGTGAGGGACTGAATTGATCCCATCTCTACCCAGAACCAACTCTGCAACCATGGAGAAATCTGTACCTTTTAGATTGGCCTCTTCCCCCACCCCACCCCCTTCCTGCTTTAAAATGCTAAGCAGAATGAAAGGGGAAGGATTTGGCCAAACGTGCCCAGAAGCCCTTGCATCCCAGCGAGGTGGCCAGCTCCAGGCAGAAGTGGAGCAGAGCGACTGCCCTGACCTCCTCCAGCACACACGGCCACTCTTTGTCTCTGGGGCTTTATCAGATCGTGGATCTGGAAAGGAAACTCAGGCAGCCCTGCTGCTGCCAACCTGGCTGGGCCCAGGCTCCCCTCCCAAGAGGAAGAAAGTGGCTGCTGGTGCAATGCACCCCTGACAGCTGGGACATTTTCTGTCTGGTAAGGTGGATCCTCTGTCTTCACACCCCTTTCTTTCTCCTCCCTACAACTACAGTTCCACACCACTAGCCTTGGGAATGTTGACGGAAACTTCCATTTCATGCTTCACTCCCCACAGTGAGGAGGTCAGGACGATATTTAGGGAAATGGGTTCATTGTGATGGAGTGTGGTGGGAGGAAGGGTGGTTTGCCTGGTGGTTGCCCAGGCGCAGGTCAACCTTCTGTCCTCCAAGATTTTTGCCTCTTCTAAGGCCCTGAACAAAGCTCCATGAATCTGCATTTCTTGTCATGAGGCAAGAGAACAGCTATAATTCCCCACCTCATGTAGTAGTAGCAGAGAAACGAAATTGGGTTGGGGGTAAACACCTGGGAAGACAGCAGAAGAAAGGATGAGGGGGTTAGTTTAAAATCTCCATTCTGTGGCCAAGTTAGACCAGCATTCGAGTCTAGACTGGGAGTTCTCACAAGGATCCTTTGCTTATCTGGAGATCTGGGCTGGAAGGCAGGATTAACCAAAGGTCAGTCAGTCAGTTCACACTTGCTGACCCTAGAACAGAGAACTGCCCACGGCTTCCAGCACAGTACACTGAACTTCTTTTCCCTGGAGGGGCTGGTCATTTCCAAACACTCATCTTTTGGTTAGCAGTCAAGCATTTAAACACAGCATCACCTGGGTTTTGGTGTTTTAGTTTTTTGGGGTCCTTTTACACCAGGTTTTTTTAAAGGAAGGATTAGGTAAAAGAATGCATAGTAGCATTCTTCTCAGCTACCCGGAGCTTGAATTATTTGCTTAGCATAGGAATAAAGAGGAATAGGAATGAAGAAAAGATATACAACCTTGATCCACAACATTCCTGATTTTAAACCATGCAGCCCTCTATACGTATTCAATCTGTATGCTAAGCAAATAATTCAAGAACCTGGACTATATAAAGAATAATGTGACATCAGGATTGGAGGGAGACCCATCAGTAACCTGTGCTAGGCAGATTATACAACTTTGCTTCCAAAATGTGAAGAAGATTTGAAACACTTGTTGCAGACGTTTAACAAAAAAGGTGAGGGGAAATTAATATAGATCTTAACATCAAGAAAACAAAAGTCCTCACTACTCGACCAATAGGGAACATCATGATAGATGAAGAAAAGATTGAAATCATCTACCCTTTTATTTTACTTAGACCCACAATCAATGACCGTAGTAGCAGCAGTCAAGAAAGCAAAGAACATGTTGCGTTAGGAAAATCTGCTGTCAGACACCTTTCCAAAGCACTGAAGAGCAAGAATATTAGTTTTAAGACTAAGGTATGCCTAAGTTATAGTATTTTCATTTGCTTCCTATGCATCTGAAAGTTGGACAGTGACTATTGTTAGGTGCCATTGAGTACTACTCATAGCAACTCTATGAACAACAGATCTGAACCTTGTCCTACCTTGTGTCATCCTCATAATTTCTGACATACTTGAACCCATTGCAGCAGTCACTATGTCAAACCACCTGTTTGAGAGTGCTGGCTCTCCACCTTGGCAAGCATGATGTCCCTTTCCAAAGAATGTTGTTGTTGTTGTTGTTGTTATGTGCCGTTGAGTCGCTTGCGACTCATAGCGACCCTATGTACAACAGCCCTAAACTCCGCTCTGTCCTGTGCCAATCGCACTGTCTCTGACACTCCCATCCCAATTATCCCAGTCACTGAATCAATCCACCTCATAAAGGGCCTTCCTCTCCTGCGCTGTCCCTCCACCCTCCCAAGCATGATGTCCTTCTCCAAGGACCGGTCTCTCCTCACAACATGTCCAAAGTATGTTAGACAGAGCCTCAGAATCCTTGTCTCCAAGGAGCCACCCGATTTAACCCTTTCCAGGACAAATCTGTTTGTTTTCCTAGCCGTCCATGGTATTCTCAATACTCTTCTCCAGCACCACAGCTCAAAGGCATCAATTCTCCTTCTATCCTCCTTGGTCATTGTCCAACTCTCTGATGCATAACAAGTGATTGCGAAGACCATCGCCTGTATCAGATGCACCTTAGTCTCCAGAGAGACACCATTGCTCTTCAGTACTTTGGAGAGGTCCCTAACAGCAGACTTTCCCATGGCAATGTGCCTTTTAATTTCCTGGCTGCTGGTGCCAAGAATGTTGACTATGGAGCCAAGCAAACTAAAGCTGTGAACAATCTCAATCTCTTCACCATCCATCCTGATGCTGCCGATTGGTCCAGTGGTGAGAATCTTTGTCTTCTTGACATTGAGCTTCAGTCCATATTGTAGGCTGCAGTCTTGACACTCTGCAGCAGGCGCTTCAGGTCCTCTTCAGTTTCAGCAAGCAGGGTTGTGTCATCCGCATAACGCAGATTGTTGATAAATCGTCCACCAATCTTGACCCCACATTTCTCCTCATAGAGCCCAGCCTCCCGGATAATCTGTTCTACATATAGGTTGAAAAGGTATGGAGATAGGATGCATCCCTGGCGTACGCCCTTCCCAATTTTGAACCATGCAGTGTTCCCTTGCTCTGTTCTGACGACTGCCTCCTGGTCCAAGTATAAGTTTCGCATTAGAACGATCAAGTGTTCTGGGATTCCCATTCTTCTCAGAGTCAGCCACAGTTTGTTATGATCTACACAGTCAAATGCCTTTGCATAGTCAATGAAACACAGATAGACATTCCTCTGGTATTCCCTGCTTTCAGCCAAGATCCATCTAACATCAGCTACAATATCTCTAGTGCCACGACCCCTTCTAAACCCAGCCTGGACTTCTGGTAGTTCTCTGTTGATGTGCTGTTCCAGTAGTTTTTGGATAATCTTCAGTAAAATCTTGCTTGCATGTGAAATCAGTGAGATTGTTCTGTAGTTTCCACATTGTTTTTTTTTTATGTACAAAAAATTCCAAAGAATAGCTTCTTTTAATAATACGCCCGAAGAATGTAGGATGAAGCTTTGTCCTCTGCCTGCAAGAAACATTCTAGCGGCTCTTTCTCCAAGATATGTGTTTGTTCTTAAGGCAGTCCATTGGATATTCAGTACTTTTCTCCAACACCGCAGCTCAAAGGCATCAATTCACTTGTCATTCATTTTCCAGTGCTCAGATGAAACGTGCCTTTTAAGAAAAAGTGACTTTAAAAAGCTATGGCCTGAATCAGGTCCACCTTAGACTTCAATTTGGCATCATTATTTCTCAGTACTTTGAAGAATCCCTGACTTCAGATTTTGCTAATCCGTCTCCTGATCTCTTGACTGCTGGTACCAAGGGTGTTGACTGTGGATACAAGTAATATGAAATAGTTGATAATTTCAATATTTGCTAAATCTACCTATCATGATATATAGCCTATTGGTCCAGTGGTAAGAATTTTGATTTTCTTAATGTTGTTGTTGTTGTGTATTGCAACTCGAGGCTTAAATTTGTTTTTCCGTTTTCAGCTTGAGGAATACCAAGCAAATCGTTCCATTTATTATAACAGAATGAACAATGAATAAGATCACAGAAGAATCTACCTTTCAATTGTATTGGAGAAGAGCACTGACTATCTCATGGACTGCCAAAAAGCAGTCTTGGAAGAAATGCAACCAGAGAGCTCTTCAGCGGTACGGAAGGTGACACGTCATCTCACATCTTTTGGGCATGTTCTCAGGAGAAGCCAGTCTTTGGAAAAAAGATATGCTAGGAAAGATGATCAGAGAAAGCGAGGAAGACAACCAGCCAACAAGATAGATAGTGACTGCAACAGTGGGTTTGAGGGTGGCGAAGATTATAAGGATGGCACAGGTCAGATCTGTTGTTCATAGGGTCCCTGTGAGTCGCGATCCACTGGACAGCACCTGACAATAGCCAAACCCGGAGTCAGGGGCGTGGGCTCCAGCGATGTCACCTCCCGGCCACGCCCCCTGCGGAGCCAGCCAATCAGCCGCGGCCTCCCCACTGCAGCGGTGCCAGCCCGTGTGGTTTGGGAAAGGTACCCGGCAACCGGCTCCATCCTCTGGGTCCCAGCTGAGGACCAAGGAGCGTATTTGGGGGTGGGGGTGGAGGGAAATACATTGAGATTGATTGGATTGTTCAAGGATCGAATCAGCCCTCAAACCATTTTACAGATGGGGAAAACAGAGGCCCAGAGAAGGAAGACTCCCACCCCAGCCACACCGAGCCACTCAGGCCTGGGCAGGGTTTTCTCCTTAGAGTTTGAAGTGCAGGTGCGCGATGAGGGGGCCCCAGCTCGTGCAGGAATTGGAACTGCTGCACTGACAGTGTTGGCCAGGTGGTGGAGATGGCGTTTAGGAAACCGGACAGGTCAATCAAATGCGAGGGCCAAGGCACAGACCGATTGTCGTCAGTCTCTCCTCGCCCCTCTCCAAGTGTGGCCGAAGCTCCTTTTCGCGCGCTGCTTCCAGCCTTGTGAAGACCTGCCCTCCCGCTCGAGCGTCTCGGCGTTCGATTGGGGAGTCCCAGGGTCCCGGGGCCTTCTCTAGAATGAACTGTTCAGACTGCCGCCGCAGCCCTCCGCAACGCACCCCCCCCGATCTGCAACTGCGCAAGCGCAAGGATAGCCAACCCAGACGGCGGGAGGGCGGGCCCGACAACGATGGGTGTGCCGGGGCGGAGAGTGTGTCAACCAATGACCTGAAGAAGCCGCGAGGGCGGGATTAGGCCCGCAGTTACAAAACATTATCCTAGTGGGAGGTGACATAAGAAATGGGGTGAAAGGAGGTTCAATGGCTCTTAGCGTCTCCATCCTCTTGGCCCGCGGAAGTTAAGCACGGGAAGGCGGGCCTAGGGCCGGAAGCAGGAAGGAGGGCGCAGGAAGCGGGGTACTGCAGGCAGGCTTCTGTCGGTCTGAAGATCGGTCCGACCAGAGGGCTGGATGGAGAAGTTGCGAGTCCTGTGCCTTCGCTACCAGGAGTATGTGACTCGGCATCCTGCCGCCACGGCCCAGCTGGAGACAGCAGTGCGGGGCTTCAGTTACCTGCTGGCAGGTGCCACCCTGACCTTTGACCCCGTACCTTCGGGGACTCTGACCTCTGACCCCAGTGATCCCGTTCTATACGTGGTCGTAGTGGCGACCACTGCCCTTGGGAAGTCCCTTCCAAGATCTCGTAGGGCGCTGAGAAGGGACGTCTGGGGAACCCGAATCAGCAAGGTGAGGCGACCACTCACACCCCTTTCGTGTCTTCTTTCCAGGTCGCTTCGCCGATTCACACGAGCTGTCGGAACTAGGTGAGCGGGCTCTGGGGTGGGGTGGGGATGGCGCGGGAGAGCCTTCCAGAGGGGTTGACTCCCGGCTTGGGTTCTGGGCTGTCAATTACATCATCCTGAATTGGACCAAAGTCCATGTCCATTGTCCTGGGCTCCCCTTGTCCCTGTAGTGGGACCCACACTGGGTGCCCTCTACGCGAGTCAGACGCTAGGCTAAGCAGCTTCCCTGTCTCTGCTGCGTTCATCCTCCCTACATCCAGCAAGGTTCGTGTTACTGTACTTGCCGTCCAGTTAAAGGACCAGAACGTTCACTAAGTTAGAGACCAGCCTGCTCTCGGGTCTTGGATTCAAAACGAGATCTTTCAGATTCCAGGATTCTCAGGCTGCAACTGCCTCTGTATGTCTTTGTCCTGCGGGTATTGGAGGTAACAGCCCAGAGAGAATGAACTAACTCGGGTTTGAAAGGAAGGGAACTGGTGCATTTCAGACACAGGCTGCAGAGACAGCAAAGGCCTGGAGGTGGGGTGGTCCCACAGGTGCCAGACGTCTTGACACTCAGTGGGTCGTTTAGGACACCGGAGATTGGTGTTGCCCGGCAGAGCCAGAGCTGATGGTCACCTGTTTTTGGTCCAGCTGCCCACAGGGGAGCTGGAACTGGTGGAGGTAGAGGAGGAGGGAGGTGGTGAGGGAAAGGCAAGTGGATTTCCACACAGTCCGTGGGTGGCTAAGCAGGTAAAGGGTGATCCCTGCAGCTCTGGGGACAAGGTGACAGGTGGAGGCTGCCAAGCCAGCCATTGGAAGCCACACTCTGCCCCTCAGTGTACTCCGCCTCTAACCTGCTTGTGCTGCTTAATGACGGGATCCTACGGAAGGAGCTTCGGAGAAAGTTGCCTGTGGTGAGGATTCTGCCAGGGGCTGGGGCGGGAAGCACAGCGACCCAGGATAGGACGGTAACAGCCAGCCCGAGTGTACACCCCGTCTCATCTCCCGGAGTACAGCTGAGGCCAGTGCCAGCCCGACACCCATTCATTGGGTGCAGTATGATGGTGTCCTTGACTCTGTCTTTGAACATTGACACTGGGGATGTGGAACAACTTGTCTCCAGGTCACTCAGCCTGTTAGTGGCAGATGTGGTGTTTGAACCCACGTCCGCAGATTGGTTTTTGGAAAGAGAGCAGCCCATGTCTGTCAGTGGAGGCCCTACTGGGGAGAGTTTGGACCTGCGAGAGGCCCCTGACCTTTGGGCATGGGGCTCTTGCAGTCGCTGTCCCAGCAGAAGCTGCTGACATGGCTGAGCGTGCTGGAATGCGTGGAGGTGTTCATGGAGATGGGAGCCGCCAAGGTGTGGGGCGAAGTGGGCCGCTGGCTCGTCATCGCCCTCATCCAGCTGGCCAAGTAGGCTGGGACTGTGGAGGACAGGGCCTGGGTGGGTGTGACCTGGCGTGCTGGACAGACCCCTGCTCTGCTGAGCACCCTACCCCTGCGAGCTTGGCACACCTCCCAGCCCTGACATGCTCCCCATCCCAGGGCTGTGCTCCGGATGTTCCTGTTGATCTGGTTCAAGGCTGGCCTCCAGACCTCACCCCCCATCGTTCCTCTGGACAGGGAGACCCAGGCACGGCTCCCAGGTGAGCTTCCCACTCTGAAGGGGGCTGACTTGTGGATTTATAGTAAGAATATCTATTTACAGAACGCTTCCCTCTCATTGACTCATGTCCTTCCATCACTCTATGTTTTATGGAAAATCAAAAGAGGAGTTAGGGACAAGGTTTGATAGGAATCCAACATCTGATGGTGAGTCCACATTCTCTCTGTGGAGAACAGGAAGGGACAGAACACCAGAAGATAAGAGATCCTGCCAACCTTATCTTTGGAGCTTGTTCTTCAAGTCACAGCTCCTCAGGCAGGGTACCCAGCCAGTGTGTCTCTTCAAGCCTGGGCCTTGGGACCAGCTCTCCTGGCATGGAATGACAGTTGATTGTCATCAAGGTCACACACAAGCAAAAGGCTCAGGGGGCACTGCCGCGCTGGGTCCTGCTTCCTGTCTGGCTCTGGGCACACAGATGCCACTGACCTTGTTCCAGACGAGGGAGGGCTGAAAATAATCCTCTGGGGATGGTCACCAGGCTGAGCCACAGGCTGAGCTGCCCTTTCTTTGACTCAGCTGCTGCCCCAGCATAGGCCCTGCCTCTCCTCCCCGAGTTCACGGGCATTCATCCCACTGGTGTTCTTTGCAGGCTCTGCTGAAATCATGCCTTTCTCACAGTGTGGCTTCTGCTTTCCCTGCTAGATGGTGACCCCAGCCCTGGCAGCCAGGAGCAGCCGTATGTGGGGAAGCGGTCAAGCCGAGTGGTGCGAACCCTCCAGAACAGTAAGTGTAGGACACACCTGGACTGGGCACCCAGTGTTGAGGTCAACATGGGCCCTAGGGGACGTTCCATTACTACCCCAGCTCCCCGGCCCGGCCTGGGTCGCTCATCCACAGCCCTTGTGTTCCAGCCCCATCTCTGCACTCAAGACACTGGGGTGCCCCACAGCAGAGGGAGAGACAGCAGCAGCAGCAGCATGAAGACCTGAGCGCAACCCCAACACCCCTCGGGCTCCAGGAGACCATCGCGGAGACCTTGTACATTGCCCGGCCCCTGCTGCACTGTATCCTTAGCACCGGGTGGGCTGGGCTTGGGGAGTGGGGCCAGGTGGGAGAGTGGCAGGCACTAGGTCCTCATGCTGGAGACCTCCTTGACACCTTGGCTGGCAGTGCTTAGCCTGGGCCTCTGGGGCCAGCGGTCATGGACGCCCTGGCTTCTGTCTGGTGCTGTGGATGTGACCAGGTAAGCTGGGGCCTGTCCAGGGGCTTCCCTCCCTCCATTGGGCTGAGGACTTTCCCAGCAGCCCTCATGGGCCTGCTCTTCTGCCCTTGAATGGGGCAGTTCTTTGCCTGTCATCACAGTCGAGTGACTGCAGTGGGCCAGGAGGACAGGGCCCCTGTGGTGCTCTGATCACATGGATGTGGTGGGTCAGCCTCCCTGGGAAGCCTGCATCCTAGCTCCAGTCTAGCTGGCTCCTGTGCCTCTTACTGCTGCCCGAGGAGACCAGGCCCCTTCCCCCATCTCCATGACCCACGTCCACAAGCTCGCCCTGACCTTGTCTCCCACCCTCAGCCTGAGCCTCCTCAGCGACTGGAAGGGCCTGACGCGAAGGGAGCAGCGGGAACTTCGGCGCCGCACCATCCTATTGCTCTACTACCTGCTGCGCTCCCCCTTCTACGACCGCTTCTCCGAGTAAGGCCAGCGTTGGTGGCATGGCAGCGTGGGGGAACCAGTGTGGGAGCAGAGGGGCATGGGAGAGGTGGGAAGGTATCCCTTCTTCCTCTATGCTGCCCTACCCAGGGCTCAGAGCGCATGTCCTGGGCTGGCCTGGTACAGTCACACCCTCTTTCACCAGATGTCAGCCCTGCTCTCCCTGTGGGTAATGCCCCCTACAGCTTATACCCCTCGCGTCTAGGCACGGGGTTTGGATTAACCCCACTTCTCAGAGGCTGTAACTGAGGCTCAGGGAGGTTGTGCAGCTCACCAAAGCCACCATGCCAGTGGCAGAGCCATGTTTAAATCCATGTTCTTTCCTAATCTGTCCCTACCTTATGCCCATTATCATCTGTGAGGGTTCAGAGCACCCAGTATCCTCTAGACCTGTGGACGAGGGACCAGGTTGCCCCAGAACCAGCCCAGGTGACTGTCTGAGATCAGAACTAGATCCAAGGGGGCCCTTGTACAGTGTCTGGGGCCATGAGACAAATGCTGTGCGTAAGACTGGACTGATAACTAGAATTGTATTTATTATGTGGCCACCTGTTGTGGTGATGGTGGTTGTGTACTGTTACGTTAGAACCGACTCATAGCTGACCCTCCAGCAAATGTTCAGAAACAGTAAGTTGCAAGAGAGGAGACTGTCCATCTTTCTCTCACAGAGAGGCTGGTGGAATTGAACCACATACCTATGTATTGACAGTGGAACTCCCTACCACTAAGCGCACAATATGGCTACATAGCCAGTGTTTCTTCTCAAACAGTAGAAAGCATTCTTAAACCATGTTTAATACCACTGTTGGGTGCCAGCAAGTTGGTAGCTCATCATGATCCCTTGTGACAGAACTGCCCCACGCTTTTTCTGGCTGTAATTTTTACAGTGGCAGCAGAATGCCAGGCCTTTCTCCCTCAGAGCCATGAATGGGATTGAATGGCTGGCTAACCTTTTGGTTAGCAGCTAAGCCCTCTCCACTTTCTTCTTTGGCGTGAGGTTGCCCTGGGGCCTGGCCCTCTGCCAGCTAGAGAACCCGTGAGGTCAGAGCCTCATGGTTCTCCCCTGTGCCTTTCCTCACACCTGCCTGGCTCTGCCCCAGCCCCGACACTGGCGCATGTGTTGTTGAATGTCAATGGAAAGCAGGAAGGGAAAGAAATGGAGAATGTGAGGCCAGCAGCTCACTGTGCCATCGCAGGCCTGTGGCGGGGGCAGGCAGAGACCAGCAGACTGCACTTGGTATACAGGGTCTTACCTCACAGAGGGCTTTACAGGGACCCAGACCCCTCCTCAGCCCTGTTACCACCTCCCTCCAGGGCCAAGATCCTCTTCCTGCTGCAGCTGCTGGCGGACCATGTCCCGGGCATCGGCCTGATCGCGAGTAAGCATGGGATGGGGGCCGGGGGATGACAGGCAAGTGCTGAGGTGCTCATGCTGGGGTTGGGGGATGCCTCCCTTGAGGTCATCTCACTGCCTCCTTGTCAGTCGATTCTTGCCACAGTCAGGATAGGGTGTCAGTCCCTGGGCATGCGCCAGCAAGGCTCACAGATACTCAGTGCTGCCAGGGAAGAGGAATGCTGTGAGGGGAGAGGAGTGTCAGGTCCTACTGCACCCCAAACCTTTACCAGCCTTTGATTCCAGGTGGACTTTCTGGTGTGGGTGAGGGATGGTCTGGCAGGAAACAGTTCCCCATGCTGCCGTGAGGCCTCACTTTGCAGAGAGGATGTGAGGCTGGGTTCTCAGCCTGAGAGTTCTTGTCTGCAGATGCCTTGGCCTCTGTGTGGTGCTCCAGCTATACGGCGGGGCTTGTCTAGGGGCCGCAGCCCTGAGTCTGGACCTTTCTCTCATTGCAGGGCCCCTCATGGATTACTTGCCCAGCTGGCAGAAGATTTACTTCTACAGTTGGGGCTGACAGACGTCATGGGGAGGGGCAGGGCAGCAGGGGCTGCTGCTGTGGGTCGGGGGTGCCTGAGTCCTCAGCCACCCAGCCCCTCTTCCTTAATAAAACTGACTCTGGCTGCGTCCAAGCATGTGGCCTCTCTGTGCCCACCTCCAGGGCCCCTGGCATTCCCCGCAGCTGGGCTTGGCTCACTGGGGCCACTGATGCCCTTGGGGTGAACAGTCCCTCTGTGGATGGAGTACTGCAGCCACACTGTCACCACGTCATGAAACCTCCACCAAGACTGGGCCCTAGTCTCCCAGAGCCACCAAAAGTTCTTTTATACCCAGCACCCCCCACCCCCGTCGAGCCTGGGAAGCGGAGCTGCGGCCTCTGCAGCCATGGGGCAGGCACTGCTGTTCGGTGAAACAGACGAGTGTGCACTTGGGCACAGAAGACTGAGAGCTGCTGAGAGACTCTGCTCGGCTTGTGGGTGTTAGCAGCCCACCTGTGGTACAGCCTGGTGGGCAATGGCCTGGCTGTAGTGCAGAGGGGCACCCAGCGTTGTCACCTCCCCACCACCCCTCTGCAGCCCGTCTTGGCACCACCTCCATTTATTGCAATGATCCATGATTTCTCACCTAACCTCTAGGTTGAGAGCCAAAAACGTGTCTCAATACCTGCTTCTCAGTAGTCAGGATGCGTTGCCCCAGACCAGATGGGGCCGTGGCCACCTACTTCCTGCCCCACGGGGCTGCCCTGCAAACCCCCACACCTTCCTGCCGTCTCACCAGATGGGCGACCCCTTCAGTCCTGAGTGCTGTGGGCCTGCCTTGCTGCCCGGGGTGGGGCATCACCCTGCATGCCTGTGCCTCCCCGCCTCCCCAGTACCCCGAGTAGAGAGCCACCTGTGGGAGCCACCATCTCTGCTCTGCCATTGCTTTCTCATCATGGTCCTGGGGGAGGAGTGTGCTCACCCAGGGTTAGGACCAGGGCCCCTGGTGAGCTGAACCTGTGAGGTCGAGCACTTGCTGGGTGCCATGGCCTCCAGGTCATGCTAATCCACAGAGGAGACATAAAAGTGTGCAGTGCACACACAAACCTGCCTGGAGGGGTCTGCACCTGGAGAGAGAGGTGCAGGGGGAAGTAGAGGCAGCATTAGCTGAGGCTTCACGTTACAGGTTTTCTAAGGAGGGACAGCGCATTGTGGGCAGAGGGGAAAGGTTACATGACGTCAGTGAAAAGTGAGAGTCCTGGCTAGAGCAGGGGTGAGGGATGTCAGGGCCACAATGAAAGGATCATGTGTCCTGGCCTAAAACGGGGGCCTGGTCTGTGGTGGGCAGTGGGGGAGGGGCCTTCTGGAGTCTGGGTTGATGGCATGTGCATCCTATAGTGTGGGAAGGGGTGGCTTCAGGCTGTGGCTGTGGGGCTTGGATGGAGAATGTCTCCACAGCAGGCCTTGGGGACTGGGGGGTCAGAGAGCAAGAGGGAAGAAGGTAGGAGGCAGAAAAGAGCTGAGTTTCTGGTGGGTGAGCGTCAGCAGGGCCAGAGGACTGGGCTGGGGGAAACCCCAAGATTTGCCAGCTTCCAGACATCTTTGACACGTGATAGAGTGTAAGCGGGCCAGGACGGGACACGAGACCACCCTCTGAGCCCAGGTGACTTGTCAAAGGCCTGGGTTAGCTGCGAAGTCCCCTGCTCTTGTAGAAGAGCAGATTTCCTTGGGCTCAATGCTCAGACTGGTCCTGCAGAACTAGTTCCATATCCAGAACCTGCCACTCCCAGGGTTGCAAAGTGACAGTTTCCCATAATACCATCACCTGTGCAGTCACTCAAGTATTTATTGCGCACCTCCTAGGTGTCCAGTGCTGGGGGACCCAAAATGAACAAAACTTCCTCATCCTTGCCATCATGAAACATCCGCTCTTAGGAGCAGGTCCAGGGCTTTGCCTCCTCACTTGAAAACCTCTTTTCAGCCTCGGGGTAAGGGGTTGGAGGGACCTTTGGTGCCCAGGCCCAGACTGTTCTAGGTTTCAGAGAATGAGGGAGGGACACCCCAGAAAGCAAGTGTGTTGAGTCTGACCACCCTTGTCCTGATGCATCATGGAGTAGGCGAGGCTAAGCGACCCAAGCTAAGCTCGCCAGCTCGCAGGACCTTCCTGGAATCAGGGAGATTGAGGGAGGGCGGGCAGGCAGCTGAGGGAGAATGGCTGGGGCACTGTATGTTTGTGACTGAGCTCGGTGCAAGCCTACAATGTGTCACCCTGGGGGACACATCCGTGCATGCTTAAAAGGGGGAATCCAAGGCACCCGGGTTACATAACCTGCCATCTGGCAGGGCTTGAACTGGTACCCACCCAGCTGCGTGGTCTGTGCTCAGTCCTTCGGCTGAGACACTCTCTTAACAGGATTTGGTTTAGCACCTGTCAGCCTGAAGTGTCAGTAAACTGAAGCCAACACCTCAGCGTGGAGGTTTCTGGCTTAACCCCAGAGCTAAGCCCTAGAACTAATGTCCTTTGTGAGGTGGCCCTGGAGCCTGGGCGGTAGGTTCCATTCTACTGGGGGAGGGGCAGGCAGAACCCAGTACCAGGGATCTTACAGGAGATGGTCCTCACTATGCTGGGGGCTCAGTACCCCAGGGCTGGCCTGAGCCTGTTCCTCCTCTACCTTGTCCTCGCAGTCACACTCCTTCTCCCCCCGCCTCTAAGGTAATGTGTGGGGATAGGCTGCTGGTCTCACAGGGTCCCAAAGGCCTTGGAGCTGTGCTGGGTGGCCCTGCGTACAGGCTGGCCTGTTATCTTGGATATCAGGGGGCTTCCTGAGCCCACCACACACACACACACACACACTTGAGCATCCCTCTATCCACAGGAAGGTGGCAGCTTGAAGAGCCGCTCTGCCCCTGGGGACAGAGCTGAGGGCCCCAACACCTTCCACAGGTCTCAGCAATCTGTTCCCAAGGAGTTCTCAGCCTCCCTGGAACTCTCAGACCCCATTTTTGGCTTGGTGGATGGTAAGCTTTCTCACCCCTTCCCCTCAGACCCTTTCTCCCTTAAGGGCCCAGCCTTCAGTGTCTTCTCCGTCTGTTTCAAATCCAGTTCCTTTCCCAAACGCTTTCCTCCTTCTAGACTATGGGGTCCGACCCAAGCACCCCTGGCCACGAGGGCCACGGCCCCTCCTCTCCCAAGCCCAGCAGCGCAAGCGAGATGGGCCGAACATGGCCGATTATTAGTATGACACGTACGCATGATGGGAACCCCTTATAAAGCTATTCTGCACAGCAAAGGCGTAGGCTTTCCTGGGAGTGTGGGACAGGTGGTGTGGGGGCAGGCGGTCCTGCAGAGATAATACCCACTGCACTCCAGACAGGAAATGGCACTTTAATAATTGTGGCCACGGTGACAGGACCAGTTGAGGCCACAGCTGAAGCAGCCAGGAGACCCCACTGGGCTGGGCCAGTCAAGTGCCTCCTTGTCCTGCCCAGCCAGGGCTGTGCGGTGCCTCTCTGCTCCACGGAGCCTAAGCCTGCCAGGGGCCAGCATGCTGGCGAGACTGGAGGTGGGAGACCTCCTGAGGCTGCAGGAACGACGGAGCGGAGAGCAGGGCCCCCTCCACCTGTGCCATTTCCTTACTGGAAAGCCCTCAGGAGGGGGCCAGGCTGGGCCTGAGCCCAGGGCTCTCCAGCTGGGGTTGGGCTGGGGGCAGGGTGGCATGGGCAGTCAAAGCAGGAGCCATCAGGCACGGGGGCTGAGGCCTGGGATGGAGCGGAACCCTCTGCTCCAAGGAGGGGTGGGCATCCTTCACGGCCAGAGGCCTGATACCCCAGCCCCGTTCCCAACCCCGGGCAGCCCGCTCTGTCCTCCATAGATGAATCTAACCCCATATATTACAATAAATTGCATTTGTCTCTCCCTGTAACCCGCCCTCCCCCACCCTCAGCCAGCTGCCCCACCCCCCATCCTCTGGGGGCGGTGGGTGCCCTTCCTCAGGCAGGGCCATGTCCCATCGCAGCTGGCCGGCCTGGCACTGGCCTGGGTGTGCAGCGGGCAGGCAGCATGGCTACTCCAGGTAGATGTCTTCTGTGGGGCAGGTATACTCCACGAACTGCTTGTAGAACTGCTGGAATGCCCTCCTAGAAAGGAAGATGGCCACGTCAGCTAGTGGGGCAGCCACTGACCGGGGTACTCGGACTCAGCTCGGGATTGTCCACCTGGAACCCTGTGGTTCCCACCCAGTGGCCACTCGGCTCTGTTCTCTGTGACCCTGGGTATCCAAAAAAAACATTCACCCCAAGGGGGCATGTAGCCACTCCTGTGTGGTTGGGAGGACCAAGGGGCAAGGTGTCTGCGAGGAAGCAGCTTGGGTGCCACCTGGCAGGGCACACGTGCACATACCCCACGGACTCCGCCAAGACTTTGGTGGACTCCTCAGAAACAAAGACGTGGCAGGCGAATCGGTGGTCAGCGGGGTGCTTGGTGATGAACCCAAAGTACCTGTGGAGCACAGAGGTTGAGGAATGTGGTGGGGGCTCAGGGACCCATGACAGCTTTGGACCACCCTCCAAGGTCTCCACTCTCCCACCCTGCTTACTTGTTGTTCTTTGGATGGTATCCACAGAATGAGATGTTTTTTAACTGGAAAAAGTGGCTACATTTATTCCCCTGGGGAAGAGGAAGAGAAGAGAGAGATGATCTCCCAGCCTGCAGGAGAGCAGGGTGGGAGAGTTAGACCCTTCTTCACAGCAAGTTCATGGGCACATGGGGGCAGGGGAGTCAGGCACCTGGGCCTCCTGGGAGTCGTCAGCCCTCACGCCTATCTTCACGCCCCGCACGCTGATCTCGAGGATGCAGCTGGAGGGTGGGTTAAAGTGCACGGTGAGCCGGCGTGTGGTTGCAATCTGTGGGTGACGATGAAGGCATCAGTGCTGTCTATCCCCCACCCAAAGGCCCTGCTCCAGGGCCCACACCCTGAGTCCTCTCCACACCAGGGTCCTGCCCACCCTTAGAGCAGACGGGACTGGGCTGGGCACCAGGAATCCATGTCAGGAGACAGGGAGGGAGACCCAGGTACCTTCTGCATAGCCGCACAGAGGACGTCATTGCCCTTGTGATAGGGAACCTGGACTGAGCCCAGGAACTTCACCCAGAACTGGTCCACCCAGTCGCTGCTTTTGGCCAGGGCTGCAAAGCAAGGGTGAAGAGGGGTGTGGCCAAAGCCAGCAGAGGAGGAAAACCAAGCCTGGAGAGTGATCGTGCCAGCAGGGGGTGCCACAGCCCGCCAATATCACTGCTTTGCAAGGCCCAACTTTCCTCTTTGACATGTGTGGGGTCCCTTGGCGGCTGAGAAAGGCCAGTGAACTCCAGAGCCAGTGTGCACCCGGCAGGAAGCAGGGGCAGGGTGACAGCAGGCAGGGGAGACGTTACCTGCCATGTGCTCAGGCTCCTTGGTGACCTCGATGGCGTAATAGGCAGGAAAGACGCCGCGGGCCCCCGTGCGCATGTTGTAGGCCTCATACCAGTAGTCCTCGGCCTGCAGCTCCACCAGCAGTGGGTCGTCCACCTCCAGCTCCAGCTCATCTTCGTGTCGAGGCACAAACCTGCCCCAGCCGGGTACGTGAGGACTCCCCCCACCAGACCCTCTCCCTCCTGTGTGCTCTGGGGTCCTGGAGCCTCAGTGGCACTGTTAGTTCAATAAACTGACAAAGCTTCCACTGTGTGGCTGTTACAACGTGAGTTCCTGTTAGACATAGGTAAATGGTGCCAACCCCTGGCATCAAGGAAGCCAAGGTCGAGGGAGGAAGTGCCCTGTGATGGTTCTAGAGGGCTTGTGTGTGGTGGGGCATCATCACCCTGGAACAGCATAGGGCCCAGCACCCTGCACTATCCTGACTCAGTCCCCCGAGGTGGACAATGCCTGACCAGGACTGAGTGGCTCCGGCTGTGGTGACGGCAGAGGCCGAGAGGGAAGCTGTCACACACGCTCACCTGAATATGGCCCGATGTGTCTGCTCCTGTTCCTCCCCATTGATGACACAGGAAAACAGCCCAAAGGACTCGGCACCTGTTGGCGAGGGTAAGAGTCTGGAGGAGGTGATCCCAGGTGAAGAGCCCTCAGTCCTCATGTCCTACACCAACCGGGTCTGCGGCCACCTCTCAGGAACAGCCCTCCCTCTGGCTGCCAGCTGCTGCCCCTGCCTGTCCACTCACTGGAGGAGCGAGAGCGGCCGCTCATGAAGACGTTGAGGAACTTCTTGGAGAAGTGGACGTCGGGCTCGTCGGGCGTGGAGTCTTCTGAAAGGCAGGCGGGGGGCCGGGGCTGGGGCGCCTCCTCGTATTCCTCCCCGATGGCCGACTCGTAGGGCGAGGAGACGGAGGCACAGTTGTCGTAGACGGTGGCCGAGTCACTCTCGTCACTGTAGTCTCCGAAGCACGGCCGCAGGCTCACCAGCTCCAGCTGGGCGTGCTCATCGACCACCAGCGTGTACTTGACCGAGTCGTAGGACAGAGCGCTGGTGTCCGAGCTCAGTGAGGCCCGCGGTGGTGGTGGTGGCTCCCCCAGGCTTGCCCTCCAGCCTCCGCCTGGTGGCTCGGGCCGCTCTGGGGACGACAGGCAGTCGAAGCCCTCATCCTCCTCACTGATGGAGGGGTGCGGCCGCCCCACTGCTGAGGAGTAGGCAGCGGGGTCTGGGTCAGAGCTGACTGACATGCGGCTCTCGGCCGGCGGCAGGAAGGCGGCTGTGGGCTCCACAGGGTCTGGGGGCCTCTGGACTGGTGTCAGGTAGATCTCCTCAGTGGCCTCCAGCCGCACGTCCGCCTGGTAGTGGATACGGTCTCGATGCGAGTGGCCTCGGCCACCGGGTGGGGCAGCAGGGGGGCCACCTGGAGGTGCCATCTGGGTGGCAGCACTGCGGCGGCACGGGCTGTCGGTGGAGGTGCCTCGGTCCTTGGTGGTGGCGGGGCTGCTCTGGGGAGGCAGCTCGTCGCTCAGGCAGATGTGATCATGTGGAGGCGTCTGCTCCCCTGGTGAGAGGCCAGGTCACGGATGTAGATAGGTGCCTAGCCCTCGACTCCCAAGCCACTGCTCCCTCCACTCAGCACCTCAACTCCAGGACTCAGACTGACAGAGCTGTCCTGGCAATGAGCTCTGGGGCCAGTCAAATCACTCATGCCAGAGGTCATGCCACCTTGCTGTGGCTCCCAGGTGGCCTGGCCCCAGGCCTCAGGGTAGGCGGATAGCTCTACCCTGCAGATTTGAGACTGCTGGGCTTGTACTCCAAGTCAGGGGAGGGTAAGGGACAGGTAAGAGACAGGGGTCTGACTTACCTGTCTTCAGGGGGGAGGATGATCGAGACACCCGGTCCTGCCAACTGTGCTTCTTGCCCAGAGAATTATTATTCAGCGTGTCCTGAGTCGAGAACAAAGGGGCCCTTGTGGCAGGGGCCATTACCAGTGCCCGGCACAGGGAGGCCCTGGCACTGCCTCCTCAGGCCATCCCTAGGCAGGGTGTTGCCCCCACTTGCCTCAGGCCTCACTCCCTAGCCCACTTCTGGAGTAGTAAGAAGGGGTGGCAGGGCAGGTGGCCTCCAGCCAGGGCTTTAGTCCCTAGGTCTCCCTACCTCTTGAGTCAGGGAAGTGGGCCAGCCTCAAGGAGGTGCTCACATCACCCCCTCAGCCTCACAAAGATAAAGGCGGCCAGTGTGGTGGGTTGATGCCTGGAGAGGAACCGGGGACTCTACAGGACACAGTGCCCCCAGCCTCAGACACCAAGGGTTTACATCTAAGATGCTCAATTCCAACTACAGCAAGAGACAGGGTGACCCCCAAACCTGGTGCTCAGAAAGCCAGGGGCCTAGGCACAGGGCAGAGGCATTTTGGTTGAGCCTGACAAAAGTACCAGGAAGGGGTCTCCCCAGTGGCTTGCCAGAGAAGAGTGGGATGAATCATGCGAATGACAAATCCATACCGGAGCCCCCACCCCCACCTCTTACACTACCACAGGCCTGATAAGTGACAGGGCAGTTGTCAGTAGCCTCCTTCCTGGATCTCCCTGGCTGCCTGTCCCACCTTCTCAGCACCCTAGGGCCCTCACCATCAAGCCTGCCTATCAGGCTCCCACCATACCACTTGGGCCTCCTCCCCCAGAAACACCCTCAGCAGCACCCACAAGCTTTCACATTCATGAGTCTGGCTGCCAAAACCCATTCCAGAGGATCCTGGGAAAGGGACCAAGCCCTTTCCCTGCAGCCCCTGC